GCCTGGGACACTGCAGGGATCATCCAGGGGCAGCCACAGCTTCCCTGGGAATTCCAGCCCAGCCGGGAATCCCTTCCCAATCTCCCCTTTCCCAGTGGGAAGCCATTCCCTGTGTCCTTCCAGGCATTGCAGGCCCTGATCCCAAATCCCTCTCCAGCTCTCCTGGAGCCCCTGCAGGCTCTGGAAGGGTCACTCCTGTTCCCACTGGAGTTGGAGGGATTTGCCCTTCAGGCTCTCAGCAGGATTTCGGGTCCCTTCTCCCTTTGCAGCTTCGGAGGCTCCAAACCTCCCATTCCCAGGCTCTGGTCCAGGAACAGGACACGTCTGGACTGAGAGAGCCTCGGGAAGAGAGAGCCCAGAGGGCAATGTCTGGGATATAACACATGGAAAATGCCATGGGAATGGAAATGTGGGACAGGCCCTGCAGGGCAGCAGGATCAGCACCCCTGGGGGGGCCTGAGAGCCCCTTCCAGAGCCTGCAGGGGCTCCAGGAGAGCTGGAGAGGGATTTGGGATCAGGGCCTGCAATGCCTGGAAGGACACAGGGAATGGCTTCCCACTGGGAAAGGGGAGATTGGGAAGGGATTCCCGGCTGGGCTGGAACTCCCAGGGGAGCTGTGGCTGCCCCTGGATGATCCCTGCAGTGTCCCAGGCCGGGTTGGATCCCCTGGATCCCCTGGGATGGTGGGAGCTGTCCCTGCCCGTGTCAGGGGGTGGCACTGGATGGGCTTTCAGGTCCCTTCCCACCCAAACCATCCTGGGATTCCAGGTGTGCTCGGATCCATCCCTGTTTGTCCCCACCCCAAAACTTCCCACAGGGCAGAAAAATCCAGGCTCCTCCTTCCCCGGGGGACATTCCCGGCTGCCTCATTCCCTCTTTCCCCCGGAGCAGGAGCATCCCCCCCTTTCCCAGAGGGCACAGAGGGACAGCAGGGACGGGCTGTTTGTGTCCCCAATTCCCTCCCCCCGGGCCCACCTGGGTGGCCGAGTTGTTGTCGTCGATGAGGGTGTCGGTGACCTCGAGCTGCCCCTCCTGCACCACCTTCTGCAGCACCATCCGGAACGAGCCCAGGAGCCTGCGGGGGGAGGAGGACACGGAGCTCAGCAGGGCCGGGGGGGGGAATTCCTTTTCCTGCCCCTCCTCCCCCCACGGGAGGTTTTTCCCCGGGGGGGGGGATAAAAGGGGAAGTCGTGAGAGGAACCTTTTTCCGGGTGGGACGAGAAAGGGAGGTGGTTCTGGGATGAAAGGGAGGGATCCCAGCCCGGTTTTTCCCAGCCTGGGCGGCCTCGGGGGTTCCCGGGCTGGCACATCAAGGGAGGGCACTGCCCCCCCTTCCTCATCCACCCGCTCCGGGATGGGGTCGGGACACCCCACGGAGTCACGGAACGGTGGGAATTCCAGCCCGGCCCCTCCCCCCCCTCCCAGCCGGGAATCCCTTCCCGATCTCCCGTCTCTCCCTGCCCTCTGGCACTGGGAAGCCATTCCCTGTGTCCTGTCCCTCCGTTCCTGTCCCCAGTCCCTCTCCTGCTCTCCTGGAGCCCCCCCAGTCCCTTCCAGCCCCAACCACGCCGGGATTGGACGATTCCAGGACAAAAGCTGGAGTGTCAGAGCCAGCCCGGCTCTTCCACCCACACCTGGGGAGGTGACAACGGGCTGAGAGCAGATGGTGGCACCTCCTGAGGAGGCACACCGAGGTGCAGGGCCCTCACTCCCCTCCTAGAACGTCTTCCCAACCTTTTCCTCCCGCTGGATGAATTCCAGCCATTCCCAGCTCCTCCCCACCCGTGTCAGGCCTGGGATAAGGTTCTCCATCCTTGGATCCCTCCCAACCCTCCCCCTATCCCTGGCAGGGGGAGCAGGAGGGGATTAAATATTCACAGCTCCCGCCCAGCCCTCCCTTTCCAGGCGTTCCATAATTGATGGCCCCGCTGCCTTCCCTGGGCTCCTGCCCGTGGAAACTCTGGAGCCTGTCTGGGTCACCTGTAACTGGATCCCCCCGGAGCTCCTGTTTCCAGCCTGGTTTTGTGCCTGGGGCTCCTCAAATCCCTGGATCAGGGCTGGCTGGGAGCCCCTCCTGGCCCTTCCCATCCCTCCCTCCCTCCCTCCCTCCCCCCACACACAGATCCCGGGATCAGTCCACAGTCACCTCTCTCCAGGTTTGTTCCCCACCCCGGCCTCCCCTGGCCCAGAGGGCTGGGCAAAGCAGAGGGATGCAATTCCTCCTGACCTGTTTCCAGGGAATTCCTGTGCTGAACCAGCCCTGGGAGTGCCCAGGCCAGGCTGGAACAGCCTGGGAGGTGTCGGGGTTGGAACTGGATGAGCTTTAAGGTCCCTTCCCACCCGGAGCATTCCAGGCTCCTGTCCCAGCCCTCCTGGGGGAATTCCAACCCCTCCTGCAGCCCCTCCCGCCGCCACCTTGACCACTTTGGGCAGAATTCCCCGTTTCTGAGCCCAAACCCGGCCTGACTCTGAGTCCATCAGCCCCACGGCCTCGGGCTCTGATCCCAGAGGAGCTGCCGGGCAGGACTCGTTCCCTGGCACTGCCCATCCTGCTCCTCTGCCTTTCCAGGGCACAAAGACCTTTCCTATCCTGCCCCTCCTGCCCTGGATTGTTCCCTGGGGATGGAGGGATGGAGGGAGGGATGGATGGAGGGATGGAGGGAGGGATAGATGGATGAATGATCCCCCCCTGCTGCCCCTCAGAGACACAGAAGACCCACACTCTGCCGGGATCTCCATCCCTGGAGAAGCCCCAAGGACACCCCAAAGCTCCCTTTTCCCCCCTGGGGATCCCAGGGCCGGATCCAAATCCTTGGGGAAGGGATCCCCTTGTCCCCCCAGGCCGGGTAAGCGGATCCATCTCCCCCCTCCTCCCCCGGGATCAGTTTTCCAGGGGAGGGAGGGGTGTTATCTGTGCCCCCTGCCCTCCGGGGGGGACACGAGGGGGGGGTTGGAACGCGGCTTTTGGCCTTTGGCCAGATCCAGTTACTGCTCCTCATCCCGGGGGGAAAATCGGGACAGGGAGGGAAACAACACCCCCATCCCCAGGGAAAGGCTCCTGGATGGGCTCATCCCAGCTCTGGGGGACAGGGAGAACACCTGGACCTGGAAAACCCCGCCCAGGGGGGTCGGGAAGGGCAGCAGAGCGGCCTCGGTGGCCCCAGCACATGGGGAGGGGCCCCAGCACGGCCCCGGGTGGGCCTCCTCTTGTTCCCAACATCTGCCCCTCTCCTGTGTCCGTGGAGCTCATCCCACGGCAATCCTGAGTGTCCCACAGCTGGGAGCTCATCCCACACCCATCTCCTGTATCCATCATCTCCTGTATCCATCATCTCCTGCTTCCATCATCCCCTGCATCCATTATCTCCTGCATCCATTATCTCCTGCGTCCATCACCTCCTACTTCCATCATCTCCTGCGTCCATCATCTCCTGTGTCTGTGGAGCTCATCCCACAGCAATCCCGAGTGTCCCAGCTCACATCCCACACCCATCTCCTGCTTCCATCATCTCCTGCTTCCATCATCTCCTGCGTCCATGGAGCTCATCCCACGGCAATCCTGACTGTCCCACAGCTGGGAGCTCATCCCACACCCATCTCCTCTATCCATCATCTCCTGCATCCATCACCTCCTGCATCCATCACCTCCTGCATCCATCATCTCCTGCGTCCATCATCTCCTGTGTCCATGGAGCTCATCCCACAGCAATCCTGAGTGTCCCAGCTCACATCCCACACCCATCTCCTGCATCCATCATCCCCTGTATCCATCACCTCCTGCTTCCATCATCTCCTGTGTCCATCATCCCCTGCATCCATCATCCCCTGTATCCATCATCTCCTTCATCCACAGAGCTCATCCCACGGCAATCCCGAGTGTCCCACAGCTGGGAGCTCATCCCACACCCATCTCCTCTATCCATCATCTCCTGCTTCCATCATCTCCCGCATCCATCATCCCCTGCATCCATCACCTCCTGCTTCCATCATCTCCTGTGTCTGTGGAGCTCATCCCACAGCAATCCTGAGTGTCCCAGCTCACATCCACACCCATCTCTGTATCCATCATCTCCTATATCCATCATCTCCTACTTCCATCATCCCCTGCATCCATCATCCCCTGCATCCATCATCTCCCGCATCCATCATCTCCCGCATCCATCATCTCCCGCATCCATCATCTCCCGCATCCATCATCTCCTGCATCCATCATCTCCTGCATCCATCATCTCCTGCGTCCATCATCTCCTGTGTCTGTGGAGCTCATCCCACACCAATCCTGAGTGTCCCAGCTCACATCTCACACCCATCTCTGCATCCATCATCCCCTGCATCCATCATCTCCTGCATCCATCATCTCCTGCATCCATCATCTCCTGTGTCCATGGAGCTCATCCCACGGCAATCCCGAGTGTCCCACAGCTGGGAGCTCATCCCACACCCATCTCCTGTATCCATCATCTCCTGCTCCCATCATCCCCTGCATCCATCACCTCCTGCATCCATCACCTCCTGCGTCCATCATCCCCTGCATCCATCACCTCCTGCTTCCATCACCTCCTGTGTCCATGG